TTTACTTTCGGATTGAGGCTATGCGATGACGAGTCGGCTTTCATGTTGCCTGTTGCAATTTTAACTTGATTCCATACCGATTTAGAATCCGCGATAGGTTCTCGGCTTATACGATTCGTATGGTTGGAATCGAGCATCTCACCGGAAACAATTTCTTAGTTGCCCGGAAGTGCTGACCAAAAATTTGGATTTCTTTTATAGCGCGCAATTTTATCCTAGTCGGATGTACGCGGACCCATAGGTCGGTGCATTTGTTTAGGACGGCTAGCGTGCTCGACGGGGCCAATCGCCAAGCGTACATGTTCTTATAGTCGCGGACGGACTTAGTGAAATATTTTTCTCGAGAATTTAGGCGACGTCTCGCCGGTTCTTTCCAAAAATATTTACTGCAGAAGTGATTTCTGGATGTCTAGAATTTGTTTTTTGCGTTTTCGATAGTAGCGGAGATTTTATAATGTTCTAACTTTGTCTTTATTCAAAAGTTTCGAAAATTTTTCGACTACAAAGCGAAAGTTCTAAAAATTTGGGAGTATACGAATACTCGTATACGCACCCACTCCCCCCCCCCCCGTTTTGGAAGGTGGGATAGCTGAAATCGTCTTTAGGCGAGCTGCCTACGTATTCCTTTCGGAAATCAAGCCATCTCGTAGTTCTGATTGTTTGTGCGAGTATGCTTACTCGGCTGTCGCAGAATTTTCTATCACTTCAGTTGCTGGATCGATGTCTTTGTCCGGGCTTTTCTCCTCCGGCTTGGTAGAAGCGATGGGTGCGGAAACTAGCTGTTTCTCGACCGTTGCTTGCTTTATGTCGTCTTCCGCGGGCGGTGGCGTAACCCTTGCCCGTGTTGGTTTCACGATTGCGACTGCCAATTGCCTCAGTTTGTGTTCGGCCAGGAAGCAGGATCGTGATTGTCTTTGGCATCCCCAAATTGCTGCGATTCCCGTAGGAGTCAGGAATTTGATGCCTAAGTGATACGTCGATAGAACCGCCTTCATGGAATTTATCAAAGGCGTGCCCATGATCACATTGTAGATGGCCGGGAAATCGACTACCGCGAAGTTGACGATTTTCGTCACTTCTTTAGCTGCCACCGGTAGCCGGATTGATCCCAAGGTCATTGATGTCTCGCCAGAAAAGCTGGTCAACGGTTTTGGAATAGGTTCGACTTCCGAGAGTTCTATTCCCATACGTGCTAACGTGTTGCGGAAGATCACGTTGACGGTACTTCCGATATCACCAGGATTCGAGCGATTTCGAGATCGCTTATCACTAAATCGATGACAAGGGGATCGGCATGAGGTTGGTCGATTCCGCCGATTTCAGCGTCGTCGAATGAGATTACCCCTTTTGGAGTGTCATCCGACGGCACCTTCCAACTCGAGCCGGTTTCGGCTTTGCGTTGGTAGGATTTGATAGACGAGACGGTGTCATTGTAATATTGCGATTCACCGATAATCATGTTGATTTTTCGGCGGTTAGCGTCGTTACCCTTCTCGTCTTGCCTTCGTCCGCGTTTTTCGCCCGACTGGTTCCCATGAGGAGGAGTCTCCGCTCGCAAGTTCCTGTCGTTTTTCGGGAGGTGGTCTGAATCGCGGATGAGATCCTTGACGCTGGATATCTCAAAGAGTTCTCCCACGATCAGTTTTGTGGCAAGCCTGGCGCCGAGAACTTTGCAGTTCACGGTAGAATGTCCACGGGTTTGGTGGAGGTCGCAGAAAGTATTCTCATCGTAATTTGAATTTCTCGTCCACGTGTTACCCGTAGTTCGCCCTTGTTCCGATCTGGAATTAATGGCGTAGTTGTGCAAAGCGGTGAAAACAGCCGCAGCGGTAAAAGCGGTGAAATCTCAGATTCATCACACTACCAGCGCCGCACCCGGAATCGATCAGCTACTGTACGAATCTCGGTCAGGTCGCCAGCAGTTTTCCGACCTCGTCGACGTTTTCTGCAAGTAACCGGAGATCGCTCCTCGGTGGTTTTTGCGTATCGCGCAAAGTTGAGCTCCTCCTCGTCTCCAGTAAGAGAACGCTCGGGAGAAGACTCCGGTGGAGGGCTGCGAGTTTTTCTTCTCCTAGGATGGACGTCAGCATCCTCATCTGACAAGTCGGCTTGGTCGCTCGTTTCCAGGTTAACCCTTTTGATGCCATCGCCCTCGGTCTCCTGCTCGCGAGTAGGAGGTCTTTCCGATTTGTCTAGCGTCGCGTCAGGGTTAGCTTTTCCGAAATCTTTCTCCGGTAAGTTATCCTGCTCGGTTCTGGGGCGATTCATAGGAGTCTCGAAATCGAGCCTCCTTCCGCGGATCTTAGTAGTTCTGCGGGGGCGAATTTCTTTGGTTTTCGTAGTTAGGGTTTCAACCCGTTGTGCGAGTGAACCGATGAGCTTTTCCTGCTCTTCCGATTTTTTGTTAAACTCGGAAAGCATCTTTTCGATGGTCTCGGCGTTAGCGTTTGTAGCGTTGGCCGCAGACGCATCTTGTGGTGGTGGTGTTTTATCAATGTTGTCGCGTTCGTTGCGAGTTTGTTGGTCACCAGTCATCGTTTCTTCGTTGGACATGTTGCGGATTCGGTGTAAGATAGATCCGACCCCCCCCCCTCCTTCTAGCGCCAAACTGTGGTAACCGAAATTCACCTACTGAAAATGAATCGTAAATAAGGAAACTTTGAGTAAACCCTAAGTTTACCGAGGACCCGGGTATCTGCAGAACCGCACAACGGTAATTAAGAAAACGATGAACTTAAAATTAAAATGAGAATGAACGAGATTGTGAGCAAAAAGTTTTTTATTCAGAATCGGTGTAAGAACTGCTACAACGAGAGTGGCCTTAGCTGCGTGAGCCGTCGGCGAAATCCCTAACTCTAGAAGTCTAAGACCGAAAACCCTAGTTGAGACGCAGCTCGCTAACAGAAAACGGAATATTCCTAAATGCTAAATTTGGTGGTGAAAGCTCTGAAAATCGTGTCCATGCTTCTGCTCTATGCCTCTTGCTTATATACTCCTCCTAAGCGGTTTTAGTCTTTTCATTTTGCCCGAATTCGAGTTTATTGGGAATCTTCCATTTATCTCGATCCTTCTTTTTTTCCCGATCCTTCCTTTTTTCCCATGGAAATCTTCTTTTTAATTTCAAACTTGCCATTTATCTTCAAACTCGACATTTATTTCCTTCTGTGAGTAAACCGTCATCGTATCTTCGGGTTAGATTTCGTTAAGATCGCGAGATGGGTTTTTATCGTGTTTTAGGACCTTTCGGGCCGTTTTGCGATAAATCCGTTTAACGACTTTATACGAGATCAATTCTTGATTCGATGCCGTTTTTAGTAAACTCCCCGAGTTAATCGTAAAGTTTAGCTACGTTTGTTCCTTGGTTAATCGTTGCCGTTTTTTTACGATTCACTCGACGTTTTTTATTAAAAAAGCGTTTTTACGATTTTTACGAAAAATCTCGAATAAATCGTATAGTTTAGGCAATGTTCGGTGTTTCGTTTAACCATTGTCGTTTTATACGATTTCCTCGAGTCCTTTTCGAGAAAACAAAGTTTTACGGTTTTTATCGTAAAACTCGAATGATAGGAGGATCGAGATGGAACTGGAGACATTTCGATTGTGGTTCGGAACACGATCGTGTCGAACGACGTAAGCCTTGAATCGGGGATACGGGAGATCGAGGCTTGGAACGGTCGGTTCGACGTACAGCGAGTCAAACCGGACCGGTTCAGCTCGCCGTTTAGCGAACTGCCCGGGAAGCTTCTAGCTCGCCCAACGGCGAGCTAGTTGGGACGAGACTAGCTCGCCCAACAGCGAGCTAAGCCGGCTGGCTTAGCTCGCCGTTGGGCGAACTAGTCGGGAAGAGGCTAGCTCGCCCAACGGCGAGCAAAGCTGGCTTGGCTTAGCTCGCCGTTCGGCAAGCTAGTCAGGACGAGGCTAGCTCGCCCAACGGCTAGCTAAGCCGGCTTGGCTTAGCTAGCCGTTGGGCGAGCTAGTCGGGACGTGACTAGCTCGCGTTTTACGGCGGTTTCGGTTTTTTCGCGATTTTGTGCTTAACTCGGGCGATCGTGTAATCGACGTTTGTTTCGTTTTCTCGAGATAACTATCATCCGAGTTTTCCGCGGATTTCCTTTGTTCGGAAATTTCTTTTGGATTTATAAAACGATTCTTCGAGTTTTATAAAAAGATTCTTCGAGTTTTATAAAACGATTTCTCTAGTTTTATAAAACGATTCTTCGAGATTTATAAAATGATTCTTCGAGTTTTATAAAACGATTTCTCGAGTTTTATAAAACGATTCTTCGAGTTTTATAAAATGATTCTTCGAGTTTTATAAAACGATTTCTCGAGTTTTATAAAATAATTTCTTTTTATCTTTTTGCGGGGAGTTTTGGTTAGTGATTCCGTCGTACCGATTTTGACCCCAACAGATGGAAGAGAAGACACTTACAAATCTCGCTTAATAAAGTCCATAACTTTCACCAGCTTCGGTGACTCGACTTTATCTAAAGGGTCGTAGGAGACCTTAGATGGAGTGACACCAGGGATTATACGCTTGACAGTTGAATTCCTTACGTATAGCCATAATAGAGTCCTCGTCAACCTTGATTTTTGTCTACGTGTAGGTTCCTCCACATTTGAAGCAAATGTATCCAACACTTGTCTACACATTTCACTTTTTTCCCACTGCAAATGTTGCTCCCAATCTTGTGTAGAAATAGATTTGTCATTTAGTGCTGGGATGACAAATGCTCTCTCCTTCTTCACTTTCTTCAGTGGCACTTCATCTCTCTTGCCTTTTTTCACATCACTGGTCTTACACTCCTGCTTCTTCATTGTCTTCTTCTCTAGTTTCTCCTTTTTACAATACATTAAATTGGTAAACCATCTTGTGAATTGATATTCTTCTGAGCATACATGACTGTGTAAGAAAATGTAAGTGTTAGTATTAACAACAAAATAATAGATAAGAGTGAAGAAATAAAACATACTAATGCATTACTAGAAGAATCATCCTTTTATTGGGCAATGGAGTTGCCACCATTGGAGTTAGCCACCTCGGTAGGAATGAATACTCCATGCTTCTGTTTAAGATTCTTTATTTCTTCCTCCAACATGGAAATCTTCTTGTTTGACTCACTCTCATATAAACCAATCCTAGGATCAACCTTAGCTTGTATGGCTGCGTCCAGTTTCGCAATTACCTTCTCAGCTACACAAGCATTTATTCCATCTAATTTTCCAGTCAGATTCTGAACCGACTCGGCCAATCCAAGTATATCCATGTTGTGAGCTTCAACCTACAAGCAATTTCCAGAGAAGAATAAAAAATCAGCCACAGAAGAAATAGCATGGTCTGACAATTATCCAAACGATTGCAACATACCGTTTCTGATGCGTGGCATCTATCAACATGTTCTTAGTATTTCTTCCGCTTAGTAGAGGGACTAACATCATTGGTATCTTGAACCAAGGGTGGGCTGATGTGAACTTTTCTCTTGTTGGACGTGGAATTAGCCATTACTTCCCAAAACCTTTTATCAAGCTGATCATTGAGGATGTCTTGAATCATGTTATCGAGATCAGTAAACACTTTATTATCTTTCCATTTCAGATTTCTATCCTCTATTGGCTTCACAACCGTATGTCTCACACGAACCTGTTTAGTATATAGAAGATCAGTAAAAATTAAAAAAAATAATAATTAAAAGAAATTAACACTTCTCTTCATACCTTCTGATACTCTCTCTTTTCTTGGCACAGAAATATGAGAAGTTGATACGAGGACGAGATCCGTGGCATGACAGAATAGGGACATCAGCGCCTTCTATCTGATTCCCAAATTTCTATGCTACACCAGGCACATGCTCATAAATCCTTATTAAGAGCACATGAACATACCCACGAAGAGTGTAACTCTTCTTTCCTTCATACGTGGCTAGTTTAATATACTCAATAAGGCTACTAAATCCTACACGACCCCATGGATATCGCTGGAAAGCTGCTAGGTCCATCACCCTTTTGGCACAATGCAAAGGTATTCTGCTGTTGTTTGAAATCCCAAATATCCCGATGCATAACAGACCCAACAAACCTACCATCACTCGTTTCTCCCGAGAGCATTTTCTACAAATAGGAAAACTGGCTTGTAAGTCTCTGAATGTAGGGCCTTCTGAAGTCAGTACCGTCATGTCCAACCAAAATTCTTTATGATCCATATCCCAAAGGTCATTCTTGTCGAAATGATCCCAATTTAGCCTTGTAGTCTCTCCAAACTCATACAAAGAGAACCGCAGTGGCATACAGTCTATCAAGGACCACATCTCATGACTCCTCTTGATGGCCAATTGATTGGCGAGAAATAGTGAACGCAAGAAGAAGACCAGATGTAATCTAACTCTTTCAGCTTTACAATCACTCCAACAACTGATTTCTGCAACTCAGACGCAACATCATCACCAACTGATTCTAGCAGCGTTTGAATGTTTGACAAAAAACAACTATGTTTCATGCTCATATTCTGAATTGGAGTTTTGCCAACCTCGTAAAGACGAGAAGGATACTTTGTTGTACCTGAAGAAAACTATACCTACAAAACAAAATTATATTCGGCATATTTCAGTTTCAAATATATACAAACTTATGAAACACTGTGAAAATTCAGTAACCAATATCTTATACCCTTAGAGAAAGCAATATGCTATCCGATCAAAACATCAGACCCGAAAAGGAAGAAATTTCAAACAAGCGAACACCAAGTCATGTCATGAAACGTTCTCTAGTTTTGGGATAGCTTCAATCATAACTTTCATCACATCTCATGTCATGAAATCGGACACCAAGTCATGTCATGAAACGTTCTCTAGTACTTTAGTTATGTTAGATGAAATTGGGAATTAGGGTACCAAATTTTTACAAGCAATCAACTAATCTATAATAATAATAACAAATCGAAATGAAAGAAATTAAAGAATCACACAATAGAAGACTGATTGAGACGAAATCGATTTGATTGACGCCGAATTTGACTGAGATGAAATCGATTTGGGTTTGTAGAGAAACACAAACATGAAGGTAATATCAAGTGGAGGATGTAGGAGACAGGGTCGACTTGAGGTAGAGGTGAGAAAGACGAAGCCGGTTGTGACTGAAACGAGACCGTCAGAGATGTAGATTTCGTCGAAGCTAGGAGACGACGGAGACGATGAGGTGTGCCTTTCTCGTTAGACCCGACAAAAAAAGGTAAAGTGTTCCTTTTTTCTTTTCTTATTATATTAAAGTGTTCTTTTTTTTCTTTTTTTTTGTAATTATGGTTTAAATATCAGATATGGTAAAATAGTAAATTTGTGTGTTTCAAGTAAGAGTGGGCGTTTGGGTACCCGTTCGGGTTTGGTTCGGGTATTTTGGGTTTTTGGGTATTTTGGTATTGGGTCTTGTACCCATTCGATTATTTTTATATAACGGACCGGGTTAAGGTATTTTTAGTTTGGGTTCGGTTATTTCGTATCGGGTTTTGGGTATTTAGATTTTGAAAAAAAAAACTTAAGTTCTTTATTGCTTTTATCAAAACATGAAATAAGAAGCTTAACATGTATTTTTTTGTTGACACCCATCTCTAAGATCAAGTGGTAGGCAGGTCAAAGTCATTTGAAGAGATGTTCTGTCTGGCTGGGTTTGATCTATATGGAAGAAAAGAGTGCCACTGCATCTCGCCTTCTTTTCGAGAGAATATGTGCGCAGATTCCTAGTCCTGGGTATGTGAGCGATTCTGAAATCCGCAAATCCGTCCCTTAGGAGTCGGTATGAAACTAGCTCTGGTGAAAAGGCTGGCCAGTTGGAGGGGTTGGCAATCATGCCCACTAGATCTTAGCAATCCGTCTCCATATGAATCGCGTTGCAGTGTAACTCCCGTAAATAAAACATCGCCCATATGAGATCTCCATCTCTGCATGGAGGACTGATATGCTTTTTTGGGATCCTTGAAGTCCAAATCTTTCAACTTCCATTGTGTCCTTGTAGAACCACCCTAATCCACTGACCATGCCATCGTCGATCCATGACGCATCAACTTGAAAGGTTGGGCGATAGGGGTCCACAGGGAGAGTCGAGATAGCTGACAGGGCTTGTCATGTCACTTCTTCATCTTCATCCTCAGGTAAGTTTGCTTTTCTCCAAGACTCGGCTTCAACGGAAGCTAGCTGAAAGGTGTCAATGGGTGAAACCTCTCTTCCATTGAAAAATTTGTCGATTCGTGCCTTCCAAATGTACCATAGAATCCATGGGAATGTCTCAATAAGTGGTTCCATGTAGGCCCCATTTTTCTTCTCCCAAAAGAAGAAATTCATGCTTTGATAAACAGTTGTACTCGGGAAGAAACCCGGAGGGGACAAATAGTCTGATAAAGCCCACACCTGAAGGGAGGGGGGGCATTCAAAAAGAAGATGGTTAATGGTTTCCTTAGGGTCACCACATCTAGGACAGCTCCTATCAGTGTCGAGGTGTCTATAGGCAAGTCGTTTGGATCTTACAATACATCCTATCAAGGCTTGCCACATAAAAAGTTTCATCTTCCCAGGAGCAGGGATACTCCACACATGCTTCTGTAAGCCAGTGATACTTGGTTGTACAACTTGAGCTTCAGAATTCCTAGTTTTAGTCATTTTTAGTCGGTTATATCCTGATTTAACCGAGTAGGCGCCCATCTTCGTGTAGTTCCATACATACCCATCCATAGACCATGTATTGCTTGGTCGCAGTTTGAGGATAAGAGGTATATCCTCGGGATGGAAATACTCCAATAAAAGATTGGTATCCCTATCTCTTGTATCACGCCTAATGAAGGAATGAACAAGGAGTTTTGGGTGTATATAAAGAACACGATCAGCCGGTCTCAGGGGACGAGCATGCATATTCGGGATCCAAGGTTCCGTCCAATCACTTGTGTTCAGGCCTGCTCCAATAGGCTTCTGTAGACCCGAATTTAGGAGTGGTTTTGCTGCCATAATACTACGCCAGCCATAGGAAATTTAGTAGACCTTACGATATTCCAAAGGACTTGATCGATTATAGTATCGTCCCCTCAAAACTCATGCGAGGAAGGAGTTTGGGAACTATATCGATCTCCAAAGTTGTTTTGCTAATAGAGCAATATTAAAATCATGTAAGTCTAAAAAGCCGAGTCCACTCTGGTCATGTGAGACACAAATCTTATCCCAAGTAATCCAATGTAAACCTCGGTTATTTTGGCTCGAGCTCCACCAAAAATTTGGATTACACTTTTTAATTTCTCTACGATGCCATGTGGAAGCAAGTAACACGACATACTGTATGTCGGAACAGCTTGCACCACTGATTTTATTTGAACCTCTTTTCCCCTTTTCGAAAATATTCTAGCCGACCACGAGGTGGCGCATCCATTGAGGTGATCTGGTACATAGGAGAACACTTGCATCTTTGAAGCATAAATTTTCCCTCGAAGACCAAGATATTTTCCCATTCCTCCTTCAGTAGTTTTCCCAAGAACACTTTTAATATTTGTTTCAAGATATGGTCCACCTTATTCTCAAAAAAATTGGAGGACTTTGATGCATTAAGTCTTTGTCCCGACGCCTTTCCATAAGATTCTAGAATGTCTAAAATTTAGTTGCATTGTCTCACATCTGCTTTACAGAAAAAGAGGCTGTCATTCCCAAAAAGAAGATATGAGATCCGGGGGCTAGCGCAGGCAACACGTAATCCCAATATGCGCTTCTCTAATTCCGCTCCTTTAAGAAGGGAGATCAGAGCTTCAGTGCACAAAATAAAAAGGAAAGGGGATAATTTTACCCCAAGGTTCGCCATTGATGATCACTTGATAGGAAACTGAAGTAACACAGAACATCAAAAGTTCAACCAGATTTTCCGCAAACCCCAAGCCTAGCAGCAAGTTACGAATAAAACTCCATTCAACCCTGTCGTACGCTTTGCTCATATCCGTCTTAATGGCCATAAATTCTTCTCTAACTCTGGTATTTGTTCGGAGAGCATGAAAAATTCTCTTTCACTAACAGAATATTGTCTGTGATCAACCGATGTGCCACGAAGGTTGACTGCGTCTCTGAAATTAATTCGGGGAGGAAACTTTTGAGGCGTTTAGATAATAATTTTGATATAATCTTATAACTAACGTTACAAAGGCTAATAGGCCGAAACTCCGTCATCTCTCTCGGGTTTTCCTTCTTTGGGATCAAACAAATGTTGGTTTGGTTTAGCCTCGGGTCAAAGCTCCCATTAACAAAGAAATATTTAACTAAATATGTGGGGGTCAAAATCGGTTACGACGGAATCAACGACCAAAACCCTCTGCAAAGTTCAAAATAGGTTTATAAAAATACGAAAAAACGTTGAGGAGAATTCTAAAGATTCTCCGAACAAAGAAACTCTGTAAACTTAACAATCGCCATCATGAAAATCACCGGAAAATCAAATAAACAATGCCATGGTCATCCGACTAGCCAACTTAGCAAGATCGGCCATAATTTCCAACTCCCCAAAGCGGCAAAACTGTCCAAGACCATCCAGCTCGCCAAGTCGGCGAGCTGGCCGAGCCAAACCAGCTCGCCGTCTTGCCGAGCTGGACCGTGCCATCCAGCTCGCCGTCTTGGCGAGCTGGACCCTGCCATTCAGCTCGCCAAGCCGGAGAGCTGACAGTCCCAAACCAGCTCACCGTCATGGCGAGCAGGACCGTTCCATCCAGCTCGCCAAGCCAGCAATCTGACAGTCCCAAACCAGCTCGCCGAGCTGGCCGCCCCTAACCAGCTCGTCATCTTGGCGAGCTGGACATTGCCATCCAGCTCACCAAGCCGGCGATCTGACCGTCCCAAACCAGCTCGCTGTCTTGGCGAGCTGGACCGTGCAATCCAGCTCGCCAAGACGGCGAGCCGGCCGTCCTGAACCAGCTCACCGTCTTGGCGAGCTGCCCGTGCCGTACCGATCGCCAAACCGACAAGCTGACCAAGTCATTCGGCCCGGCACCGGCCAAGCCGAAAGGCATATGTCCCTTGACTCGATCATACCCCGAACCATGATCGGAACGTCTCTCTTTTGGTCTCGATCCGTCTTATCGTTGGAATTTTACAATAAAAACCGCTAAAGACTTGTTTTCTCGTAAAAAAATCGAAAAAATCGTATAAAACGACTAAGGTTAAACGAAACACCGGAGATTACCAAATTATACAATTGACTCGAGATGTTTTGTCAAAACAGCATCGTATCATGGAACGATCCCGTCTAAAATCGTGAAACGGCTAAGGCGCAAAACGACCCGAAAGGTCCTAAAACTCGACAAGGCCCACCTGTGACTTTAGACGAGTCCAGCCCAAAGATATGATGACGGTCTATCCGTTTATGAGCAGGAAGAAGATAAATGTCAAGATTCGGAGAAAAATAAAAGTTTTTCAAGGATAAATAAGGAGATCGAGATAAATGGAAGACTTTCAAAAAAAATGAATCAAGGCGGAAAAGGAAAGATTAAACCGCCTAGAGAGGGAGTATATAAGCACAAGGTCGAAGTTAAGAAGGGACACAATTTTCAG